TTACCCCCACATGCTGTGATGTTTCGACCCCAAGAAGCCCACCAGGAACAGTGGAACTTTGGTCAAACTGGTGGACAGTCCAGACCTGCCAGTTACTAGCAGAGTTACTGGTACGAGTCACTGAAGCGCCCAGAGCTAAAGAGCTTCCTCTGTCGTGTGGGGTTGCCAGCACCTGCATCCTCGGGTTGTTGCTAAGGAACACCCGAGACTGCCCTCGGTCAGAGTGTGGTGAATGTCAGCTGCTACGACTATCATTACGTCCTTTCTCCCAAGGGCCTTCCTCTACTTAAACTACTTAGTGTGGATACTTAAATGCTTAACTGCATAAATATTAATGTTTTTGACCCAGTGTGCTGCTGCCTCAAACCTTAAGGATTTCAGATAAGGGATCACAGGCCTATGGGTACTTTTCAGAGGTGTTACTAGTATAAATGAGATAAAGTTTTGTCTTTCTTGAATCTTTGTATGTCAGCTATTTGCACACATTTTCCCAAAGTTTTTATTGTGGTAAAATATACGAAACAAAATATACCATCCTAACTATGTTTAAGTGTACAGTTCAGTGGTATGAAATATTCATATTGTGGTGCAACCATCACCGCCGTCCATCTCCGTAACTCTTTTCATCTTGTAAAGCTGAAATTCTATAAGAATTAAAAACTAACTGCCTATCCCCTCTCCCCTCAGCTCCTGGCAACCACTACTCTACTGACGGTCTCTATGATTTTTGAGCACTCTAAGTACTGCATATAAGTGGAATCATACAGTAATTTGGGTTTTTGTCACTGGCTTATTTCACTTAGCATAATGTCCTCAAGGCTCATCAATGTTGTAGCATATTGCAAAGTTTCCTTCCTTTTTAAGGCTGAATGATATTCCATTGTATGGACATACCACATTTTGTTTATCAATTCTTTGGGGTGTATACCCAAGAGCGGAATTGCTGTATCATTTGGCAGTTCCATTTTTAATTTTTTGAGGAACAGCCATACTGTTTTCCACAGTGGCTATACCATTTTACATTCCCAGCAACAGTGCACAAGGGTTCAAATTTCTCCACATTCCCGAGAACACTTGTAATTTTCTGTTATTTTTTAAAATAGTAGCCATCCTAATGGTTGTGAGTTGGTATCTTGTAGTTTTGATTTGCATTTCCCTAATGATTAGTGATATTGCGCATCTTTTCATATGGTTTTTGGTCACTTGTACATCTTCTCTGGAGAGATTTCTATTCAAGTCCTTTGTCTGTTTTTGAATTGTTTTGTTGTCCTTGTCATTGAGTTGTAGTCATTTTTAATACATTCTAGATATTAATTCCTTATCAGATATATGATTTGCAAATATTATCTCCCATTCTGTGCACTGCCTTTTTGTTTTACTGATACTGGCTCTGCACAAAATTTTAAGATTTTCATGAAGTCCAATTTGTCTAATTTTCCTTTTTCTTTTTGGCCACACCATGCAGCATGCAGGATCCTAGTTCCCCGACCAGGGACTGAACCCACACCCCCTGCAGTGGAAGCGTGGAGTCTTTTTTTTTTTTTTTTTTAAATCTATGAACCAATCAGGATTCATGAATTTCTTTTTATTATTATTATTTGGCTGCGTTGGGTCTTCGTTGCTATGCACGGGCTTTCTCCAGTTGTGGCAAGCGGGGGCTACTCTTCATTGTGGTGTGCGGGCTTCTCATTGCGTTGGCTTCTCTTGTTGCAGATCAGGGGCTCTAGGCATCTGAGCTCAGTAGTTGTGGCTCGTGGGCTCAGTAGTTGTGGTGCACGGGCTTGGTTGCTCCGCGGCACGTGGGATCTTCCTGGACCAGAGCTCGAACCCATGTCCCCTGCATTGGCAGGCAGATTCTTAACGACTGCGCCACCAGGGAAGCCTGGAAGCATGGAGTCTTAACCCCTGCCACTGGACCACCAGGGAAGTTCCTATTTTTTCTTTTGTTGCCTGTGCATTTTGTGACACGTCCAAGAAATCATTGCCAAATTCAATGTTCTGAAGCTTTAGTCCTATGTTTTAAGAGTTTTATAGTGGGTTTCGTTTGTTTGTTTTGCTGCATTGCACGGCTTCTGGGATCTTAGTTCCCCAACCAGGGGTCGAACCTATGCCCTCAGCAGTGAAAGCATGGAGTCCTAACCACTAGACTGCCAGGTTACTCCCTATACTGTTAAGTCTTACATTTAGGTCTTTGATACATTTTAAGTCAATTTTTGTATTTGGTGTTAGGTAAAGGCCCAACTTCATACTTCTGCATGTGGATATCTAGTTTTCCCAGCATCATTTACTGAGAAGACTCTCCTTTCCCCATTGAATGATCTTGGCACCTTTGTCAAAAATCATCTGGCCAGGGACTTTCCTGGTGGCCCGGTGGTTAAGAATCCGCCTTCCAATGCATGGGACATGGGTTCGATCCCTGATCAGGGAACTAAGATCCCACATGCCACAGGGCAACTAATCCCATGCACCACAACTACTGAGCCCATGCACCACAACTAGAGAGAAGCCTGTGTGCCGCAACGAAGATCCTGTGTGCTGCAACTAAGACTCAATGCAGCCATAAATAAAAAAAAAGTAAAATATTAAAAAACAAAAATCATCTGGCCATATACGTGAGGGTCCACTTCTGGGCTCTCTATTCTATTCCATTGGTCTATATGTCTGTCTTTAAGCCAGTAGCACCCTGTTTTGACTAGTTTTTGCAGTAAGTTTTGAAACTGGGAACCGAAAATCATCCAGTTTTGTTCTTTTTCAGGATTGTGTTGACTATCAGGATCCCTTGAGATTCCTTATGAAATTTAGTATAAGTTTTACAATTTCTGAGAAAAAATCATCAGGATTTTGATTGGGATTGCACTGAACCTGCAGAACACTTGAGTAATATTGGTGTTTTAATAGTAAGTCTTCCAATTAGTGAACACAGGAGGTTTCCACTTATTTCGCTTAATTTCTTTCAGAATGTCTTGTAGTTTTCATTGTACAAGTCTTTCTCCTTCCTGGTTATTTCCTAAGCATTCTATTCTTTTTGGTGCTATTGTAAATGTAATTATTATTGTAATATGGTGGGGGGGGGTTGTTTGTTTTTCTGGCTGCACCACACAGCTTGTGGGATCTTCATTCCCCAACCAGGGATTGAACCCAGGCCCTGGCAGTAAAAGCGCTGAGTCCTAACCACTAGACTGCCAGGGAATTCGCTGTAATGTTTTCAGATCATTCATTCCTCATGTATAGAAATGCAACTGCTTTTTGTGTGTTAACTTCGAATCCTGCTACTTTGTAGAATTCATTTATCAGATCTAACAGCTTTTTGCATGTGGTATCTTTATGATATTCTACACATAAGACCATTCATCTGCAAACAGATGAGTTTACTTTTTCCTTTCTAATTTGAGGCCTTTTCTTTTTCTTACCTACTTGCTCTGGCTGGAACGTTCAGTACTATGTTGAACAGAAATGGTGAAAGCAGGCAAACATCTTTGTCTTGTTCCTGACCTTAGAGGAAAAGCTTTCAGTCTTTCACCATTATTGTGTTTGCTGTGGGTTTCTCATATACAGATATTATAAATATTAAGGTCTCCTCCTATTCCTATTTTGTTGAGTGTTTTTTCATGAAAGGCTGTTGAATTTCGTCTCGTTTTTTTCTGCATGATTTGAGATGATCATGTGGTTTTTCCTATCATTTTGTTGATGTGGCATGTAACACTGACTTTCCTGTGTTGAACTTTGCATTCCAGGAATATATCCCACTTGGTCATGGTGTATAATCCTTTTTTATTTTTTTTTAAGGCTAGTTTTTTAAAGTTTTAAAATTTATTTACTTTTGGCTGCATTGGGTCTTCATTGCTGCATGTGGGCTTTCTCTAGTTGAGGCGAGTGGGGGCTACTCTTGGTTGCAGTGCACAGGCTTCTCATTGCAGTATCTTCTCTTGTTGTGGAGTATGGGCTCTAGGCATATGGGCTTCAGCAGTTGTGGCACACGGGCTCAGTAGTTGTGGACAGTGGGCTCTAGAATGCAGGCTCAGTAGTTGTGGCACACAGGCTTAGTTGCTCTGTGGCATGTGGTAACTTCCCGGACCAGGGCACGAACCCATATCCCCTGCATTGGTAGGCAGATTCTTAACCACTGTGCCACCAGGGAAGCCCTAATCCTTTCAACATGCTGCTGAAACCTGTTTGCTAGTATTTTGTTGAGGATTTTTACATCAATGTCCAAAGGATATCGGTCTTTACTTTTCTTACTTTGTAGTGTCTTTGTCTGGCTTTGGTATTGGGGTTATACTGGCCTTCTAGAGTAAGGTGGGAAGCGTTCCTGCCTCTTCATTTTGGGGGGG